TTGGGGGACTCTTTTGGCTCCGCCCACACGACCCAGCCAATCGGCCTCAAGAGCAGGAGGAGGGGGGGGGGGCGTTGAGAGGCTCACCTGAGCCGGTGGTGGCAGTTAGGCTCTGAGGGAATTCCTGAAGAGCTCCTGTGGTGCTGCCTGTGTGTGTGTGTGTGTTCTAAAAATAAAGTTCATTTCTGCTTGACAAGTGGCTCGTGAATTGTGCCCAGCCAGACTGCGGCATACACTGCAATGCAATAAAACTGAATCCTTTCCTGTTTTATGTTGTGTAGTTGTGCACATCTGCCTTAGTTATCCATCTAATCAAACCACAGATCCTTCAGGACAGAGACAGTGGAAGCTCTAGATTAATCAAGAACCCATAAATTTCAGATTCAAAGCAGTATGGCATGGGCCTCCAAACTAACGTGCATAGGAATAAGTCCACACATATCAGATTCAACAACCCTAAACAGCCTAAGCACCGACTGTTTCGTGTCAAGGCAGAGATGTGTTCATCTTCCCCACTGTACACTGAGCTCCTGGTACAGACTGGCACATGTAAGTGGTTAAATTTGGGTGTTGCTTAAAGACCTGGTTCAAGTCCCAGAAATCTTTTTTACTAGTTCTATCACCTTGAACAAGTTACCTGACTTCTTGGAGCCTGGTCTTCTCATCTATAAAATGGAAATAACAATACCCACTGTATCTGGTAATTTAAAGTAGTACACAGTCAATGTGTCCTGGCCACAGGCTAGGACATTATTATTCCATAGTATTAAATCATTATTATTCTATAGTGTTAAATGCAGGTCCATAATCACATATCAAAAACTCTAGAGACCAAAGTGTTCTGATAACAGATTTTGGGGGTGTTGGGAAGATCTGTGTATATAACCCCTTGAACAGAATCAGGGTCAGCACCCACAATCAAATATATTAATATTTTTTGCAGTAAAACAGTACCTTAAGCAGGTAAATAAAGGCTATCAATAGTCTTGTACCAGTTCACTTCAGATCAAATGACAAATGAGTTATGAAAAACACTGGGCTTTCAGAGCTTTTGGGATTTGGGAACTGCAGAGAAGACAGGTAGGACTATATTCACAAAAGTACTGGGGGCCCCCATTAGGCAACTCTGTACCCACTGAGTCATCAAGGTATGAATGCTCACTCTGGTGAGGGTATAAGGCTGCAAGTTACAACGCTGAGGGCAATAATAAAGTTGTCAGGATGACTGGGAAAGCTGCTCAGCCTCTCAATTCCCTCCAGGTACCACAGCCCAGGCTGCGCCTCCAGAACAGGTTACTCTTGAACTTTTCATTCCTTTTACCCAAAGAAAGAGGGAGGAGGGATAAACAGGATGGCTGGAGGGCAGTGCGGGAATCTACCTCACTATCTTTCCCCTTCTTCAAGTTTTAAATCAAGGAAAACAAAAAAGAGGAGTCCAGATTATTAAGGACAGCCATATTCAAATTTATGAGGGTGGGAGTGTATTTTTATTTTTGATTTTCACATAATCTAAAAAAAGCCTTATGAATGAAAAGTCTCTTGTCTCCTTCCAGGTTCCCGCAGTCACTGTAATCGCACTCCGGTGGTGTGGCGCTGGTGGTATTCTGGAGTATGAGTGTGAGGAATGTATGTGTGAGGAATTACCAATTCCTCAACCCCCAACATGACTTCTACTGCAAGAGAGTCCAAGGCTAGTTCACTAGATTATCAGTGGTAAGTTAACAGAATTCAATATGACTCCCAATGAAGTCTGAGTGAGAAAGCTAAGAAAGGCAATATATATAAAGGGGTCCAAAAACAAACTCTAAACTAATGCCCCCACCATTCCCAAATTAGAAGCAAATTATTGGCCTTACTATTCTTCTCCCAGATGAATCACTAATGATTCCCACCACTGAAGAAAAAGTGCTTACTGCAGAGGTACAAGGTGCTCAATGTTCTAGTGCAGGACCAAAGAGGCTGTAAATCATCGGAGCACTGCCACATCCATCCATTTATATATTCTCTGTTGCTGCTTTTATGATAAAAGGGCCCAAACTGGTTGAATATTTACAAGAATAAACTATATGGCCCACAAGACCTAATATTTACCTATCTGGCCTTTGAGAAAAGTTTGCTGACCCCTGTTCTTATGAAAGAGGACTGGCTAGGAAGTCAGAGAGACCTATATTTAAATCCCAACTCCATAATCACTAGTAGAAATTACTTCCTATTTCTGGGCCTCTGTTACTTCATGTATGATATTAGAATACCACGAGCTGCCCTGCAGGGGTGTCATACAGACTAAATGAGATGAGCCAGATAAAATGTCTTATGCATAAGCAAGGAATAAATGGTAGCTATTAAGTCATAATTAATACCACACACAAATTTGTCTATCATGTTAATAAATACTCAAATGTAAAGTTATTCAGGCTACAGCCAAATATTTTGTCAAATAAGACACTGGGCTGGCATTCATCTACCTTCCCTGTTAAGGAATAATACACAGAGTATATTGCTTTAGAAAGCCAAAATTACTTCACCTCTCTCCTCTTATTCTCTCTTTAGTCCTTAATTTAAAAAAAAGAAATCAAGAAGCACAGCCTCAAAGTTTTGTTAATATAAAGCTAATTCCTTCTATTCGCACTGTTTAAAAACACTGAACAAAGCTTAAAATGTACCTCAGAATGAGTGAGAAATCCTGATCTACAATTAAGAGGAAAAATGGGAGGAGCCCAAAAGAAACGTTTCCAAAGTTTCAAGAAAGCAACCAGCAATACTTGATGAATAGTGTGGGTTCCTGGGTCCACTCACGTAACCAGTACTTGAAGGCACCTACCGTTCCAGGCCTGGCTGTGGTTGGGAACACGACAGGCTGTCTCCACACCTGGAGAACCTAGAGACCGGGGCTACTCAGCACTGTGTGACATAAGAACCACAGGACATGCTCCTGACTGCAAAACCATCTGTGGTAAGTCATATTAGAACTTGAGGGCTCCTAAGAGATCATCTCACCTAACATCTGTACTGAACAAGCAGGTTCACCGAACTGTCCACGGTTACAAGAGAGTTCGTAGCAAACCCTGCGTTCCTGATTTGACTTCACAAAAAACTGTCTTTGCTTAAGAGTTACTTCTCAACAAGTCAAATCTTAATCTTTTACTTCTCTGTCACCCTGCCAATGATATTCTGGAAAAAGTACCCAATCCTCAAAATCCCAAATAACTCTAGGCAGGGTGTCACTCCTTGGTTTTTCATTATGTTCTTCTTGTTTTATTGTATTGGACCCACCATAATTTTGTTCTGTGTACCAATCCTGCCCATTGGCTGAGAGTTCACAACCACTAACACCCAAATGTTGTGCACGTGGCAGGCATGTGGTAACTTTATATTCACTCCCTTATTTAAGGCTCATATTAACTTGTCCAATATTATAGATGGGGAACTGAGCATGGAGAAGGTACCCACAGTGAAGCTGACTCTATTAATAAGCATCCATGTTACCCCAATACCATCATCAACCTCCTTCTTCCTCACAAGAGTCTGTACATTCAAGTACCCTCCCTCCTTCCCACAGCCACATGGAAGCTTCTAAGAAAGGTTTCTTCCCATGTAGAAGACACTCTTAAAAGTACTCTGCTTCCCTAGACTTCGCCTCAACTACTGAAAGAGCTGGGCTTATCTGAAATACTAAATTTCTTCATAGTGATTTTAAGTTTCCTGAGTCTGTTTTTAGTTATTCTCAGCCAAAAGGATCTTAATATGCACACGAATAAAGTAGTGGAGCTATAATTCAAACAGAGAGAAGGTGACTTCACTGACCTCAAAAATGTAACAACTAGACTCTCTTCTGACCTCTCATTTTTAACACTCCTACCATCCAGCACCAGTGCTGAGTCAGGAAAAATGCTCATTACTTCAGCTAATGGATTAAAAAAAAAAAATGAAATTTAGCTAAGCTTCCAAAAACAGGTAGGATAAATTTTATATTCAGTTTTAAATGAAATATTAGGACCCTAGGTAGAAGCTTAGCAGGTCTAAAGCTTCTCTGCTTTTAAACAAGAGGTTTAACGTATTTGGGAAATAGTGTACGCTAGAGCAAATAAAGGAATCTTGGCTTATAAGTCCAAAACAATTTCATAAGACTGTGTCAATTAACAAAAGCACCAAAGATTTGGTTTCTCTAAATCCCTTTTACAATGCCTATTGCACCTATTAGCAGTCACACAAATTCTCGATCCTCCTTCCATCTGAGCCTGGTTCCAAGTAGGCCACCTCCTCTGTAAACTGAAAGAGAGTGTGTGGAGTAAGGGGATAGGTGGAAGAGGGGGCAGAGGGAGAACACCACTTCCCCACTTCAAGTCTTGTCTAGTTTCCATTCATGATAGCTCTTTGACTGGCATAATGATCAACCTTCACAACTCATTTGATGCCGACCTCTACCTCCATCCTCAAGGACACATGAAGAGCCTTAATCTTTAGACCTGAAGGATGTCTTCTGTGCCATTTCACATGGATCAAGAGTCCTTGACAACCCATTCTATTTCTGGCCAAGTACCCAGCAGACTTCAAAACAGTGACCAGAGGTAAAATGCTCCACATCCTATTTTCAACTTGATCCCCAAGAGAAAAATCAGTGAAGACACCTGTTAGTCGTGAAGAGCCACTCACCAAGGTCTCATGACTCATTCACTGCAAAACACAAAATACATTTTAATGTCAAGACTACAAATGCTTGTACACATAAAAGCCTCTCCTTATCTCTTCACTTGGCCTTTTCTCAAAGAGCTTAGACAAGAATTTTTTGATCTTCAACCAAAAAAAAAAAAAAAAATCAGAGAAAACTCTACTTGCTCTGGAATCCAGTTTTCAAAAGCCACAACCTGCATGACTGTCTTATTCGAAGTTCAGGAATCATGCTGATTGCTCACAAAGGATATTTTTTTAGAGACCAATTCTGATCCACCAAGGCAGCCCAGCCACCTTCAAGAGTACCTTCCTTCTATAGCACAGCTTACCTTGTAATTACTAGAGTTCACCCAAGAGGTAGCGAGCCCATCCACAAGCTTATCTAACATGGTCTGGTCATGCTCAAGGTCAGCAGACTTCTGTTTATCTGAGAAATAGTCTATAAGTTCTTGGCCAACCTGCAGTCGTTTCCCCACATCCTTTTGCAACACCTGAGCCAGGCAGGACTCCATTCGAGGCTCCATGGTGGAATTCAAATCCAGATCCAGCAAAAGCTAGAGGGCAGTCAGGATGACTCCCTCCCGGTAGACGGACCCGGGAGGTTGCCTCTTTGTTTGCTGAAGGTTACTAAGAGCTTGTGTTTCAAAGATGCAATCCGGGGAATGGTAACAATGCACCATGTGTGTCTGAAGAGCAGCTGGTAGGATATTAAAAGTCCAATTTAAATAACTAGTAGGAGATAAAGGAGTGAGTGGCTGAGTGATGTTCTGCTACTGGGTCTGAAATACTTCATAATTCAGCAGTCCATTCTGAAAAGTAAGAGAACAACAAATTAGCACAGATAACATAACGCTCAATGTTGTAAAACACTAAATCAAGGACAAAGCAATTCATGCTGTAGAACCATTTATAATCACATGAGGAGTGCAAAGCATGAACACTTGGCAACCATATTGGAGTAATATAATTATTATTTTTATCAGGAAGAACATTGAAGCCCAAAGAAAAGAGCCAACAAGCCACACAGTTGGTAGGTTGATATTTTTCACAATCTCCCAGCTTGTAAATGCACTAGTCAGGAAAGCAAGCTTCTGCTTTGTTTATTTGTAGCTTAATTTTGCTCCCCACCAAAAACCTAACATTACTCTGTGTCTGAATCACTGTAAATGCCCCAGCTTATGGCATTCCTCTGAGTCTTCCAAAAAACTAAGTACCAGAAATGGGACAGGCTCCATAGACGACACACCACTGATCAAAGTCGCCAGCTCGGTTAAATTAACCAAAGCAAAAGGCAGCACACTTACATCACACTTCTTGCTCAGCACCTTTACAATGGGGGGAGAAGAAACCCCTGCTGCCTCCTCCCCACAAAAAGAAAAGAGAGAAGAAAGGAAAAAAGGACACAGGTGCAAGTTCTGATCAGTTACTGACACAGTATTCTCAGTTGACAGCAGCACCATTTGGGTCTGGTGTTTTGTTATAAACTCGGATCCCAAAATCATGTTTGGACAATGCAAAACGCATGATAAGGGAGAAGTAACAAAACTGTGGATTTTTTTTCCCCCAGTGCTGGGGATCAAATCCAGAACCTTGTGCATGCTAGACAAGCTCTCTACCATTGAGCGAACCCCCAGCACTCCAAAACAGTTTTAACTAGATGTATTATACAATCTATCCAGTAACCTATAGCAAGCAGCTAGTACAATTCTGCACACACATTTCTTAATTCAATTTCTTCTCTCCTAAAATTATTTGATTCCTTTCATTTTAACATAAGAAGACCCATAGGAAACCCATCTTCAAGATGCAGCACCTCCCTGACAAAATATGAAACAGGAATGTAGCTTCATACCAACAGAAAATATCAACTTTCATAGCTTTTAGCATATAATGTGGCAAGTACATTTAAAATTCTGTGTAGCGGAACTCTTTCAATCTGACAGTGGTTCTCTCCCTTTCTAATCCCATCATATGTCTAAGCTCAACATTAAAAGGATGATACACTACCCAAATCATAGAATCATTGTTCTGTTTTGAGTACTAGAGGTTGAACCCAAGGGCACTTTACCACTGAATTGCATCTCCAGCCCATTTTAATTTTTGAGACAGAGTCTTGCTAAATTGCCAGACTGGTCTTGAACTTGCATGCGCTACCACACCATGCAGAATAATAGACTTGTTTTGGATTGGTTTGGTTTGATTTTGTTTGGTATCAGGGATTGAACCCAGTGGTGCTTAACTACTCAGCCACATCCCAGCCCTTTTTATTTTTTTATTTTGAGACAGGGTCTCACTTGGTTGCTTAGGGCCTCACTAAATTATTGAGGCTGACTGACTTTGTACTTGCGATCCTCTTGCCTCAGCCTCCTAAATCACTGGGTTTACAGGCATGTGCCACTGCAGCTGGCTAGAATCAAAGACTTTTGATGTCAACAGGAATCATAAGACAAATCACAAAATGAGGAAAGCCCTCCTTCAAAATCCCAGCATGTCCCTGGGCACAATAGCATATGCCTCAGGCGGCTGAGGCAGGAAGATCATGAATTCAAAGCCAGCTTCAGGAACTTAGCAAGGCCCTAAACAACTCAGCGGGACCCTGTCTCTAAATAAAAATGAATGAATGAATAAATGAATGAATGCATAAATAAACAAATAAAATAGGGCTGGGGGTGTGGCTCGGTGGTTAAGTGCCCCTGGGTTCAATCTCTGGTACCAAAAAAATAAAATAAAGTAAAAAACATGTGGCTATCCATCTTCTAAGCCCCTGCCTTTGTACGTGCAATGGGGTGAAGAGGAAAGACACTTAATAAGATACTATCTCACGGAAAAATTCTTCCTTAAACTGAGGAGGTATCTATCTTCCAGTCATTTCCACACCCTGGGAGTAGGCCCTCTTTCAGAGGGAAGATCCTCAAACACATAAAAGTAGTTATTAATTTTCTTCCAATTTGTGGTCCAAACAATTCCTCCAGTTCCTTCATGAGCTTTTTATATTAGACTAAAGAAGGTATCAATGATATAGGCAAACTGGAGTAACCAATAGAACCTTTTCTTTCTGTGCCCAAAATTAGCCTAAATAAATAAATGTCAAGTAGATAGTAGAGGCAGATAAAAAAAATGGCCCACAAATTCTTTGCTACTCCTCTCCAACCCAGGTGAAGCCTAAGTCCTCTCCCACAGAGACTTGGGGCTGACCCTGTGAAGCAGGCAGAAGCTCATCAGCAATCCCTAGAGCTGGCCCTCTTAAATGCTCCCTGGGACTGCCATGTTATAGGAAGCTGGTCTAGCAACTAGAGCAAGAGGGGCCATATGGAGCAGAACCAATAGCTCCAACCAACAGTGACTATCAGACATGTTCCCAAGGCCATCTGGGGCCATCTAGCTGTTCTAGTCATCATCAGACAACACCATCACAAATAAATCCTAAGGAAACAAGCAGAGAACACCCAGCCAAACCATAGAACCATGAGAAACAACATTTCTTTGTTGTGTCAAGCACTAAGTTTGTGGTGATTTGTTACACAATAGCATAACTCTTACTCCTTCTTCCCCTAAAAAGTTATCTTCCATTGCAATGAAAAGAATCTCACATTTTTCACTCCTCCAAGGGGCCTAAAATCAACAGACATTCACCAACAGTAACACTACTAATGCCATTTTTAAGCGTCTCCATGAAGTATCAGGTTCTGTGCTAGGCGGTTTCTGCATATTACTTCTGATTCATCAACCAACTCTACAAAGCAGGTGTTAACTTCCCTACTTTATAGATGAAGAAACTGAAGTAAAGTAAGGCTGAGTAATTTTCCAAGGTTACCTGGCCATGTGTCTCCTTACTCCACCCTCAAACCCTTATTATTAGAAATCTGGCCTAGTTCTGTTCTGACTCAGGGAAAGCAGGCCACACTGCTGAGCCAGGAGCCACAGGCCAGAGAGCAGAGCCTTCACTCCTTAAGCAAACACTAGGTGCCTTCAAGCCTCTCCACTGTGGCTTTTTAAATACATATGAGAAAACGTCCCTTTCAAGGAATGTACAGGATTTCCAACAAATATGCTTCTAGAAAGTAATTATACAATAAAAGGTTAACACACTCAAAAGTAAGTCACAAACTCATATGTACAAAGAATGAAAAAGACTGGAAGCTTCAGGTATTAAGCGGACTGGGTCTTTCCAATCTCTCTCTCTCTCTCTCTCTCTCTCTCTCTCTCATTAAAAAGAAAAAAAATGGCATTAATAGTGTTACTGTTGGTGAATGTCTAGTCATCCTCTTCAGCATTTATTCTTACCTAACTGGGTTTTGGGGTATCTTTTCCCCATGCTTTTAGTGTTTTCTCCACCTCTACTTTCAAAGATATTCAAGGAATAGTAATCACAGAGTCCAAATACCCAAGATATAAGAGTACTGGCCCCTGGCTCCCAGACACCTAGCTTCCATCTCTGAAAGGAAATATCATTAGTCTCCTGTGTATCCTTTAGAAAGATATTTAGCTTCCCAAGAAAATAAGTATTGTATGTGTTCTCCTTCCTGTATTCCCCAGGAAAAGTTTCCTAAGCATTTACAATTAAATCAAAAAAACAGAAATCAAAACCATACAAAAATACAGGCAAAACATCATATAGCAAAATCTATAAAAACTTCATATTTGAAAATACATAAAACTGAGAAAACAAACAAGAAAGAAAAGGAGGAGGAGGAGTTGGAAAAAAAGAAGGACAAGAAGATGTAGGGGAGGAAGAGGAGTTAAGAGAAGAACCCACATCTTGACCAGACTCTCCACTAGGAAGAGTGAAACAAGGAAAATGAGGTCTGAAATCATCCCACAACTGGCATCATGGAGGTGACTGTGTTGAAGCTAAATAAAAGCTGAAGTTCTCATATGGAAGACATAATGGAAGGTGCTGGAATACAGAATCAGTCTCTGCCCTCAGTGAGCTTATGGATAAATGCAGCCCTGTTCACAATCTGACAGTCTGCTCTGTCATTATTATTCAAGTGTACTATACACAGAGACTTAGAGCAATGGTGACATTAGAAGCTACTCAGAATGTATTGCTAAAAAAAAAAAAAAGAAAAGAAAAACACATTTTTACACATTTTCCAAAAATACAAGAGAGACATAATAAAGTTATGAAAGGATAAATGAGGTTAAAATAGCAAAGCACCACTTTTCCTTCTTTATTTATCAGAGTAACTTTTCTCCTTTAGCAAGATCCTCTATGACGGCTATAGAGCACAAAGGCATTGCACTGGTTACCTGGGAAAAGAGACACATTTCAGGTACTTCTGGAAAATGTCTCAATTCCTTTCAAATCCAATGGCAACTGCATGAGATCCTTTCATTTGCCAGGCCAACATTCTCTGCCTCTACTACAGGAGTTAAGTTCCAAGCATCTCAACTTTTCCCTGCCACTTATCTTCATTTTTAGGTACAAACTAATAAAACCTCAAGATCATGGCCTAATCACTCTCCTTTATAGCAACCTTAAAAATAGAAATTAACCAAGGAACCTTTACAAAACAACAGCCTAACTCTGCTGCAGGCCAACAGGAAGATGTTAAAAATTACCAGCATCAACAATAATATGGCAGATAAGATAGCTAGCTTAGTGAAATAAAAAGAGCAATAAAGTTAAAAATTCTGGCTTCTGTTCTCCGCTCTGCCACTTCCTGGATGACTTTGGGAAGAATATTGTCTCTATGTGCCCTAGACAAGATCAGGATGGAAAGATTTACACAGGGCATTTTTCTAAAAACAGCTCCTATCTCCATCTCCTTAATTACCATATCTTTCCTGCGGCCCTTAGGTACAC